TATGTAGGCATTGTAGGCATGTCTATATGTATATAAAAAAAACTATTCCCGCTATTATTCCCACCCCTCCCTCTCCTGGATATTGGCCCTCCTTTACTTGACAAGTATACCTCAATGGTTGGTATTTGCCTTTACAATGTACCTATAAGGAAGCTCTGTGAAGGAAACAAATACCTTAACCACAAGACATCAAATAATTGTTGCTTTGAATTTGCTTGTTGTTATTGTTGTTCTTGGAAGTTGAAACAGTTAATTATTTTCATAGGCCACAGTACGACTTCAACATTGACAATGGTCACTATGCCCTACATAAAAGAAACACCCAACTTTGAACTTCTCTATCCAATTAGTGTAACTATTTCTTTGCGACCTTGAAAACGAAAGTTATTTTCAGTTTTTCCTTTAGTGTGGCAACGCTTTTCCTTTCAAGGCCGACTTAATTAAGTTATTCTATTTCAGGCTTGGCAAAAAGATTAGAGAACACCCCCGCCCCCTTGTCTACACACTTGACTGTTCTTACCTAGACTGCTTGTATTTATCCCTAATAGCTTGCTGAGGATGTTTCGGTGCATGGCTGAATGCACGATGAAGATCATGGATACATGCTTGCAGATCAAGATGTTGGAATCCGGTGTAGTGAGACAATGTTGGATTCTGTTATAGACAGGAATATATTCAAGGTTCTAACAGTAAAGATTGTACTCGATTCATTCAAGATACTGTAACTTAGAAATGAGGGTGTCTGAATTAGCCCAGGGTTAGTGGATTCTATTCACTTGCCCAAAGAAATGATATATTTTGTACGTCAAATTAAAGAAGTACTGTAAATGTTGAAATTTTTTCTAGCGGAGGGGGAAGGGAGGGGGGGGGGGTGGTGGAAGGGGGGAGGGCTTGTGAAAATGACTTTCAAACTTGTACATCAGTTATGCAGCTTCCCAAAAGGACATGTCTGAAAATTGGTTTTCTCTGCACCCTGGAAACCCTTGAGGACTGGAACACTTGGTTATCACAGATAGACAGTTTGATAAATGATGGTGGGTTGGGAAATTACCACTTGCTAAATAACCCTGGACCAAGAAAAAAATTGTGCAATCCAAGCACCATACAAAGTCTTGCGTGACATGACATATGAAAGAAAGGAAGATAAAACAATAAAATTGCCCACCCCTACCCACCATCAAGGATATAATGACCCATCCCTAACAATCCCAGATTAGGTCAGCAAGGAATAGATTTGGTGCAAAGCTAGCCAGTGTAACTGATTGCTCACTTATTTTCATCTCCAAGGAGAGAAAACTGTGATGATATATTTTGTACGGCATAATCACTGAAGATGAAATTAAGTGTTTTGTGCAAAACTAGGCAGTGAAACCGAAATGTCTTGCAATGCACACTTATTATCATCTCCAAGGAGAGAAATCTGTGATGATATATGATATACGCCATAATACATCTTCAGCGGAAGATGAAGTTAAGTGTTAGGGGTATAAGAGTTTTTCCTCTGTATCATAGTGACCTTGGAGGGTTGTCGAGTTTTTTTTTAGATTGCTGTTCTTTTAGTTTTATTTTTTCTTGCGGTTTGAGGAGGGGGAGCAGGAAGGGGAAAATAGGCAATTAGGCCTTTTGAAAATTGAATAACCCACCCCAACTTGGACCAGATGTTACTATTTATTTTAATAGGCCATGACATTTTATTCCTGATGGTACAAACTGAAGATTAAACTTGTTAGTTTTACCCATGATTGAAGTCCAAGAGTATGAAGAGACAAAACAACAGCACTGGCAGCAATTGTTGATGGAAGATAATTGAGAAAAGGGTCCGCTTCAAGCATTGAAAGCTCACAGAGATACTGAAATAAAAATAAATCATTCAAACTTTACACCACATAATCAGACTAAATATGTCAATGATATGCATCAAGGTCCTGAACTGCCAAAATTTATGCAGTAAAATTGAGACAAGCTTGTCATAATTCCCTTTTCTTCATTTTATAACAACTTCTGTTATTATTTGTCCTATTGGCAAGTAATTGGCCAGAGTTACACAATTGGCACATGTAACCAAACAGGTCTCAAACTAGTAACTATCTGAAGTTTTTAAGCAATTGCTTGAAATTGAAGCAAAGAAAAAAAAAGCACAGGTATCTGGCTGATCGAGTGAATCAGACTCACAGAGGGTTGACAATAGATGAATTCATTGCTAGATGATTATACAGTCCTTGTGTAGACTAAATTAAATCTGCGGAACAAAGTAAGCTTAGGATTGAATTTGCTACACATGTTTGTAGTGACATGTTGAACAGATTCCTTCAATACGTGCAAAATGTCCTCCTACACAGTTGAACTTCACTATCTTAAACTATGAAGGGAGATGAAAAATAGTTTGAAATTGTATATGTGTACAGTGTATGAATCTACAGGAAAATGATAAGAATAAAAGATAGTGAAGTTCAGTGGGATTTGCTTTAGTTTGTTTCACAATTTCTAGTCACTGAAATAGAAGTAAAGCCTAGTCATAGATTATGGATAAGGCCCAAGGATTCCATCAATATTAAAGTACTTGTTAGGGTTTGGTTGACACTGATAGCATAACACAATGGGATTTTCCTGCAGATGTATTTTTCCCCTGCATGTATTTGCTGTTTTGTTTTTGCATGTAGGTTTTCCTTGCATTATTTCTTAATGCTTGTGTTATTTTATGTTCTTTCTACATGTTTGTTTTCTTTATATCAATTGATGATTGAAATTCTGTGTTGTTCATACAATTAACAAACCACAATGCAAGGTACATATATGTATTTTTTGCATTTGTAAGGGCTTGTGCTTATGTCATCACATTTGCTAGTGTGAACCAGGTCACAATGTTGTTAATGATGTGTGGTTTTATCTTGGCACAACTTGACTCACCTTTGCTAGTGCTTCAACTTTGGGACTCTCTGACTCAGAACATTCTGTAGCCTTTAAAAATCTTTCAAGGAAATCTACTATTGTTGGTACACAAATATAAAATCCTAAAGTCTTAAGAATGAGAGATTCCATTTTCAGAACCTGCAAAGAAATCACATTAAAATAACAAACTGTGTCAGTGTGTTACCAGTATACATGTAGGAGCTGCATTGAAGATTTTGCAAACTTTGGTATGGCATGAAAAATTTGCTTAGCACTCACACTTGTGGCAGAAATATTGCATGCATTACAGGTTTGGATGCATTAAAAATGAAGAGAAGTATGTTCAAGAGAACACCAAGCCAACCCATTAACTAGCTCAGCTGTCTTTTCTGGCCTTGGAAGCTCCAAAGTCTACCCAAATCTTTTGTTTCCATGTGAAATTATTTCAGCCAGAGATTAAATTCTCTTTCAGCTGGTTAAATTACTGTAACTGGTAGCCTGCCCTTAGCGACATCCTTTCAAATGTATATTTATAGCCTGATAAGCCATACCAACCTACTACGATGCCACATTTGTGGATTATTGAGTTTAAAATGTAGGTCACAATTCCTAACTTGGAGGAGGAAGTCACTCCTTCAGCAACTTAGCTTCATTGCTCCTTATTCAAGCAAGCCCATCAGGAACCCCTTTTAAAGTTGTATTAGGCCCAGGATTTATTCCTTTTACCCTGTCCCACCCCTCCCTCAGAAGCATGAAAGTTGAGTAATGTCAACAGATGCCAAGTGTTTGTTACCTGCTTAGTAGTGTAAGTGTCATCAGTGATGAAGACAAAATCTGACACATCAGGTGGATAAATTTCCTCAAACTTGGCTGCTACTAACATACATGCAGTTCCCACCAGTTGAAGCTTTCCCCGTAACACTGACATGACAGACAGGAAACGGTCAATATAGTTTATTGTTAAGTAAAGCGTCTGAGGTAAAAGTTTGTATTCTTCTGCAACTTCAACCAGCCAATCAACCAGGATTGCACGCATACTGTGGTTGATGTCGGACTGTTTTTTCATGTAACCAGCTTTGGGCCTGTTCTTGAGCTAAATAAAGACAAGTTTAAATTAAATCAGCTCCATGAACAAGTTGTTTACGGTAGCCTGTCCACTTTTGAAAGTCAATCAAAGGCTCGAGATAAGGCTATGTTCTCAATGTGGCTTTTTTAGCTCAAAAAAATTCTTTATTAACTGATGGGGACATTTTGGAGAGCTCCCATAAGTATCCCCTCTTGGTTCTGGCTTAGTCATTTTTTAGCCAGTGCGAAACATATAAAGATACCACTGGATCTCGATACAGATACGCCATTTATTAATATGAAATTTTTCAGGGTGAACCACACAGAACTTGACAGGGGAAGAAAAGAGCTCAAATAGAAATTTCTGTTCGTCTCAGAATAAGGGTGCCATGGCTACCAATGATTTTGCATTTTTCCAGGCCATCCCCTGCCTCAAATAATCTCAGAATTCCTGCATGGTTTACTGCAATGACCAAACCATCTGAGACTATAATTTTGGCATTTTCTATTTCTATTTTTTAAACTGCAAACATTATAGAAGGCAACAGTTGCAAGGTCTTACTGGAAGCACTGAATCTGACATTTGGTGACTTCCTCTTTTTTAGTGGTGAAACGGTATCATAATTTGATGAAACAGTGAGTTCAAAAGTAATTGAAATCTACCAAGCTTACTTTAGAGTGGAAAAAAATTGAGATAAGGCAAAATGTAAGAGTGTGGAGAGGGGAATGGGGAGGTTGAAAAAAAAAAAAAAATGAATTTACCTCAAAACACTTTAGTTGTTAAAAGTTCCAAACGTCTTTAACTCTAAAAATTTCCTTCAAGAGTTATACCATCACATGCATTCTATTTTTTCAGATATCAACGCGCGCTGTTTCACATTCAAAAAAGCTCGAACGGCAGTACGAAACTTCAACCTCGACAAAGGAATAAAAGACAAAGATATCTACCTCTGATTGCTTCAAGTTTTGGAATATCTCTGAAGCATATTCCGAGCAGGAAAAGATGTCGTTGCCGCTATCGATGTCGTGTATTTCTGGCGCTGTTTCCTTCGCGCAGTCCAAGTCCTCGTCATCGCTAGAGTCTATGACCATAGGCGAGTCCCCTACATAAATGCAAAATAACAATAAAGAACTCTTTCATTTTAACAGTGATGAGCGCTTACGTAGAAATAAGAAAGGCAGCTCGAACTATATTGTTAAATTTCAGCAAGTCGCACGTTCAAAACGGCAGATTAAAAAATCAACTCGGAAAAATATTTTTACCTGTTGCGAGCTCACCTTCTTCCCCGGCTCCGTTTCCGACGAACACATTTGTTAAAGCAGGTCGTGAAAGGGATGTTAAGGCCGGGTTCAGTTCTTGTACTGTGGAGCTCGTGATAAATGCTGAACTTTGGGCGAGAACTGGCTCGGGGTCTACGTGAATGGTGAAACTTTGCTGTGCAGTTGTCGGTACAGCGAAGGCGGTCTTTTGTTGTGCACGACTGAATGCATTTTCGTCGTTCTTGGCAGCTCCGACGGAAAACGAAGAACCGGCCAAGCCAGCCTAAATTTAAACGAGGAGAGAAACTGAATAAGGAAAAAACGTTTCTCCAAAACGGAGACGAAACGTACATGGAATTTAAAGTTCTGAAAATTCTGCGGTGAAATTGACAGGGGTTCACTGACCTGTTGTTTGGCTGCGCGAAATGGCTGAATTCTCAACCCAGCGTTGTTCGTTATTGTGCCCAAAGCCGCTCGTTTCTGTCCTTGCTGCGTTGCTCTGGCTTGTCCATCTTCCATCTTAGCTTTCTTTAAAGCGTTGCTATCTGCATTATCCTGGAAGTTGTTTGTGATGCGAAACGCCAACGACATTTTCACACGGAAAGCGGTTGAGGTTTGAACTAACGACTGCAAATTCAAAGGCGTAATACAAAACTGCCAGGCAGAAAACTAAGAAAATACAACGATAAACTACTCTTAAACGTGGCTACCAGCGCCAAGTGGACAGTACTTCAACTGTGTAAATGTAGAGTTGTTTTAGTTCTTCCTTTAGCCAACCTTTTAGCTTTGTGGTGATAGACTCGCGAATGCGAACGTTTTCGGTTCTCTCATTTCAAGAATCCCGCTTGTCGAGTATCAGCCAATCACAGCACAGGAAAATGCATGCTGTTATTTGTAACATTGCAAAACGCCGCTGTCCCCAAGGAGGCTCATTTTTGTGCGGTCTCCTGGATCTCGTGACTTTTCACAACTTCAGTCAAATTTTCATCGTTTTGGTGGAGAAAAATTCTGTTGTTGTTGTTGTTTTTTTTTCAAACTACAATTTCTGTCGGCTTTTAAGACTAAAAAAAAGCAGGAAGGAATTTTAACTAATTCTTAAGTTGATCTTATGCTCCCAATATTCCTCTCTTTTTTATTGTTATTCAAGACAAAACGAAATTAATCTCGGACTCTGTAATAGCCCTCATCACGGTTAACTTTTCACACTTGCGTACAATGTAATCCAACGTCAGGACGCAAGGCGGTTTCGGGAAATTTTGTCGTTTCTGCCCGAAATTGCCTCGCATCCACGTTGAATCTCGTTGTAATGCAAATGAGAAAAGCTTACCGTAGTTGTATAGTAATAGACGAAAGCCCCGTGCCTTTCATATCGCTTCAATTTTCTTTCTGATATATATGATATATGAATTGTGTTGTATCTTGCAAGATATTATCTCTCGTATTAAACTCGGCGGTACGCGTTCGGCTGATTTCTTCAAACAGTCAGAATTCCATTTTGGTTGTTTGGGTTTGGAAAACAATACTGACAAAAAGCAGCTAGACTAATCAATGTAATTACTGCCATTCTTATTTTATTCCCCAGAGGCAAAGAGCGTCAAGTCAGAATTTTTAACATATTCTTTAACCGTGTTGATTGTTCTGCACCACAACACATTCAATTCCCCCGACAGTTACTTACCACGGCATTACTTCACGTATCTGGCCTGATTTTCAGGTGCTAAGGGTAGATCAGGCTGCTGATTGTTTTATTTTTGACTGGAAAATAGTAGATTGAAATGAAAAACACTGGACACGTAGTTATATTCCACACCGGGACTTGGAACTTCGATCGAACATGCGGAAAACATCCGACCTTTCCCCTGAGTATTAAAATAATGAAGGTCATGGTCCTTTGCAAGCAGACCTGTAAAAACAGAAAATTATAACCCGTTCCTTCTGCCCTCCAAAAAAGGCTGCCAATACTAAGCAAAGATGGAAGAAAACCACGAACAAGTTAACTTTTCGATCCACGAATACATGTTTTGGACCAAGGTTCAAGTCTGAAGAGTGCCATTGTCTACCACAGAGTAGCTGGAGAGCTACTTTTGTGACAATACAACGCTTATTTCAGACGTCCAAATATACACGCGCCATATTAAATTCCACTGTTTGCGCATGCAAATGCGCAACGTTCGTTTCCAGTAGTGGTCCAGTCTCTGAACTCTCCCTTCCCAGTGCCGTCTATATAGGAGTTGAACCCAGGCAGGAGAAGATCAGAGTCTCTTTTCTCTTCGGGGTCAAATCGTAAGAAAAAGCTTATAAACTGTCAAGAGACGATGCCATCATAAGAAGAAAAGTGGAATTAAAGTTGCTGATATTAATTTTGTTGCCCACTCGGAAATCGCGCACCATTACAATGTGAAAAATAAAACACGGTGTTTACCGTCAGTAAGGTTTATTGACCAATTCAACGTCACACGTATTTCCTAATCTTATAGGGCTCAATACCTTTAACTACCACAGCAACTCTAACGATGGTATCTAAGGGGTATCAAGTGACCAGTTGTAACCCTGAAACGGTATGCTGAGCTTCCATGTCATTTCCACCTCCCCCTCCCCCCCCCCCCCCCCCACGACTCACCATGTTTGGGAAACAAAGGAGCCTCTTAGTATATTTCTTTGAGAACTTCACGATTCTCACGGCTAATCTTGAAAGAAATTCATGGAAATAAGGGGAGTTGGCTATGTAACGTGTATTAAAATACCGAATGACACACGAGATCCACGCATAAAACGAGATATTTGTAATGTTTCAATGATTTTATTTCACTACATTCTAAGATAAATATCTCGATGGATTAGAAGGACAGTTTGACGTCTGAAATGAACGGAAATTGGCAAAAATAACAGAATTTAAAAACTCACGATTAAAAAAAAATAATACTTGTTGCATAAAATAATGCTGTAATCCCATCTCTACCAATGAAATTTATCCCATCTTTTTTACACCTCTTGACCGAGAAAAAAAAATAAACCAGGGCGCTTCCTCTTCTAGTTAAGGTATTCAGTTACAAATTCCCTTAAAGCAAATAAAACAAATCATCAAATGATTACATTTCATTAGAAAGTAAACCTGTCAGAAATAAAGTATATACAACTTCTTATTAATATTATTATTAACTAATATTACTATAATTAATCTCTCACAGTTGCTTTTCACATCTCCTTGGACTTATCGACCGTTTTCCCTCTAGTGTACAGTCACCTAAATTTACATTAAAAATCTCCAACAACATAGAAGACAACATCATTAAATTCTCGTTGGCTTAGACAGAAGACACTGTTTTGCCGACTATACCGAACGCTCCCTAAGGTTCTCAAATGATCTGCAAGGTTCCAAGTTCAAACGAGCAAGATTGCGGCCGAACAACGAAAATCTGGAGTTGTGAAGATTTTCTAGCTTGCAATGCCGGCGTAGTTTAACGAGCGACGCTGCACTTTGATCGGACCAGCGCCATCTTGGATTTGAAAACAGTGGAAGCTTGGGAAGAGAGGGAAAAAGGCCCCGGGAGATACGCGAGGCTTAAAAACGAATGAAGGGGGAGAGGTAGGAGAAGGAAGTTGTTTTCTCTCTCTCCTCCCTTCTCCCTTCCTGACTCAATTCTCTCGTCCCAACCCTCTACGTTTTGCGACTCCAAGATGGCCGCCAGGATACCGATCGAAAATATCAAGCGCTCGCTAAACACGAACGTTTTAACTTAAGGTGAGAAGATTATCAAAAATTAGAAAGTCAAAAAATTATAATCGATACTCTACAAAGATCGCTTTTATAATGAAACAACTTTTAAATATACTTTAACGATAAATTATCTCATAGAAATATTTGTATGCCCTTGTAATATTTAAAGTCAATTCTGATGCTTGAAATCAGTTTTCCTATAACTGATGAACGAACAATTAATAAATAGCTCCGAATGCGATACACGTTCAGATTTAGTAATTGTAGCAATCGAAATAGACCGGTAGTTGAGAAGAAAGATCCAAACAAACACAATTAAGAAGCAAATTCTCCCTAGTAGAACTACAGAAAATGTATGTAAGACAGAGCGGAGAGTTATGCTGCTGATCAAGCTACGAATTTAGACGCCTTCAGGGTTAACATGATTTTTATAACCTTATGCACGCTGTACAAATATTTATCTACGCTAAAAGTAAAACCCAAAATTTATCGTTGAGGAGGAAATATGTATTTAAAATCTCTAAAAATATAAATTAAAACAAGAATCATTTCCTGCAAGAGAACCCATTCTTGCATAAACCAATTGCTACATAAACCCGAATGGCCGAAGTCATTTCGGGCATTCCTCGGTAACCTTCGACAGTTGTTCGGAATTTTCCGGAGGCGCAAAGTCAACCAAGCGACCGCCAAATCATTTTTTCGTCACTATGGCAACACAGAGTAACTGCTCACAGCTGATACGAATCCAGTTCTTCAGCCTCCACACAGCTTTGATAGCCAGCACAGTACTGTAACATTAACATGGCAAGCGCCTGACTTCTCTCTTCTGATTTGCTCTGGGAAAAAAAAAAAAAATAAATTAATAAACGAACACCGTATAAGGCTAGCGTGATCTTGCGATACAACGAACCCGTTTACAAAAAAGTCCCCGGTATATAGCGGTTTTCAATTGAGTGTCAACTTAACTAAAAGTATCACTCTGGCCAATCATAAAGGACAAAGACGATCCAGAGAACCAATCAAAACTCGAGGCAAATTCAAGTGGCCGACGCAAAGCGCGAGAAAACGTGTGCCAGCGAGTCACGATTGGTTTGATTTGATTTTACTTCTGATTGGATGACAAGTTGCGGGAGTGCTTGGCGTAGTAATGCAAAACCAAAGCAAATATGAATCAATCATAATTGAGGAAATTGTAATTTTTATGATTAGGCGAGTTATTTTTAGAAATAACTTACTAGTAATGACTCGACCACAGCCTTTTTCTTCCGGTCCTTTGCTTTACTCCTCTCCTCGTACAATTCTGTGCGTGTTTCGTTTTCTTCGTCAATTTCCACTTGTAATCTGTCCATCTGAAAAGCATTAACCGTGACCTCGTCAGTTCACACGAGGACTTCGCGGAAAGCACATTTCTGAATACAGAAATAGCCCAGGTAGAATTTAACATTGTCTTACCATGTCTTGCAACTTGTTTTTGCGAACCTCCAGTGGGAGATTGGAGAACAGCTCCCTGCCAGCCTACAAGAGAATCGCAATATCACAAGGATGATATAACTCAAGGTGCTTGTGCAGATATCGGCATGTCTCACCAGTTTATCAGAATGACACTTAAAGTAAACCCTAGCTTATGTTTATTCAAGCTCAACAACTCAAGCTTGGCAGTTTACGGTATTTAACAGTTTGTTGAGAGTTTTAAGCTGACTTCGTATAAGTATTTGCAGTTAGATTTCCATTTTCATTACCTTTCCAGTCTACTCAGTATGAACTGAACTATACTTTCGTTTCCCATCATCCCAAAAGCAAACACTTCCTTACCTCTCGCACTCTTTCTGAAGCTTTTACAAAGTCATTTGCTTGAATTTCTGATTTTCTCTCAGCTGACTGATCCTCACTCGAATCAGGTGTCCGCTCGGTACTTGGTGACTACAATATAGGAATCTGAACTCAAAAACTACACGAAAAGAGCAACGGGAAAGACTTAAAGATGATTTCCAGTCCGCACTGCGCATTCTCGAGAAATTGTTTGCGTTTTCTATTTTGTTTCATGTAAAACATAACAAATTGTGAACATTTCGCAACTTCTTACATGAAGCAAATTCAAAGTTTCAAAACAACCGCCATTATGGATGCGAAGCGGTAGGAGTTTTTTCTTATCAGTATCACTTGATGAAACAACTTCGCAACTGTAAAAATCAATGAAGCTGTCAGAAAAAGAATTTGAAAGGCCTCAAAGATAAGGTATGTGGTTCGTAACGAAAACATCGATTCGCATTCCATCGAGTGAGCCGTTATACACATTAGGGTGCTGAGACTGCGCAGTACGGACTGGAAATCATCTTTTAAAACCCAGCCACTCCTAACGTACTTTGAATGCACATGCGCAATATGAAACAAGCAGGTTGGATCTTTTTCTACAGTCAAGAAGGATATATCAATACATATCATTTTAATAAACTTGGACGGGTAGTTAGCTTCATTACTATTACAATAAAGAAGAAGAAGACTGGACAACCACTGCTTAACATACTCGTTTTTACATTAAATAAAATGACCCAAATATTGGATCATGACTGGCTCACAAAATCAGTGAAACCACGATTTAGGTAGATCTGGCATTGTCTATGTTCGTCATCCCAGTATTACCTTACTTCTCTAACAACATGACAATTAAACTTTCTTTCTGTGGGTTCAAATTCCACAAAGTCAGAAATGTGTTATTAATCTTGTCTTTGTGTACTTCAAGTTTAGCTCCCCATAATATCTCTCTCAATCCCCAATCCCCCCCAATCCCCAACCCCCCTCATTTCCCAACCCCCCTTAATTCCCAAACTCCCCCACCAATCCCCAACCCCATCTCCGGCCCACTAATTCAATTTTAAACAAGTACTAAAGATCACCAGTTTGGCGTTTATTTCAGCATTCTCACCTCATCACTTGTCTCTGTTTGATCACCTTCCCCATTTTGTTTCTTTTCATCTTCATCTGATACTTTCTCGCTCGTGGTAGCCAGCCGTTCGGGTTCTGACTCACTCGAAGCTTCTGTCACATTAGTTAATGCCTCATTGCTTCCGTCCTTAGCATTTATATCTGCTTGTTGTTTTGCTTCCTTCTCTCTGTTTCCTGACTTGGACTGTTGTCTTCGAAACCACCCTGACGTCGATTTGGACGCACTGTTCAAGAGGTACAAGAACTTTTTAGTCCAGAGTAATTACAGAGTAAATAAACCAATCAGAACTCGTGGCATGTACGCGTACCTATCGTTAATCGCAGAAAAATGAAACCGCTGACTAGAGCGGGACACATGAAACTGGTGCCAAGTGCGTCAAGGAAATGGTGACTGGTGAAAAGCGCGGGGAAACGTAATTGGTGCCAAGCGCGGGAAAACATAGAATCAGTTCCAAACCTGGAAATATATAAGCAGTTGCAAACGTAGGAAACAACAAGAAGGAAAACTCGTAAGCACGGGGAAACGAAGCTACCATAAAGCACGGAAAAACATGTAAGTAGTGCCAAGCGTGGTAATTGGCAGGGATTTCCATATTTTCTTTGCGCGAAAATGAGAAAAAAAATCTTCAGTACTCACTGTATGCAGTGCGTGTGGCTCATGCAATTCTGTAAGCATTTCTTGTGGCAAATCATAGCACACGTTCTACACTGGAACGCAACTTTGGTCCACACCTGAAAAGACAACATGCATATGTAGTGTAAACCAGCGAGGAGAGGAAAACATCAGATGAAGACAAGAATTAAGACGCAGATCACAACATTATTTAAGAAGGCCTGAAGTACAGTGAGGGCAACGAACAGAACCGCCTTTCGAACCTAAGATACGATACTGCCAATCAGCAGTTTAATAAACATTGACCAATAAAAATGGATAAAAGGGCAAGGACACGTGCGTGAAATTAGATTTTTGTACCTGATTGGCTTAGAGGGAATATGATCGATTGTGATCGGTTAGAGTAATTGGCGTTGCTTTCCTGACCAAAATAAGAAAACGTAAAAAGTGAAAATCCTATTGACCTGTGTGAAATTCGAAACTCCTCTTGACTTCAATGTGACAATAACTGGCTAATACATGCAGGGTAAATATGATCTAAATGGTTACGAGGGAGTTAAGTTTTTTTGCCAGCCGCAACTGTTACAGAAAAGAGATAGTCTTCACATGAGGTCGCATAAAATTTGCCAGAGTAAAAGGTAAAAGCACAAACCTTTTTGCTGCAATAGCTACATCTTGTGGGGAAATAAAACTGAGTTAAAATGAACTGATGTTTGGGGGGCTCCAAACTGCAATAATAATAAGAACGGAATGGTAACCGTAATAAGCAAATGATAGTACATAATTGACCTGTCAGAATCAAATCAAAGTGTCCACGGTTTTCTGAGTTTCACAGTAAGGCCTGGTTCATAACGACACAATCGCTTATGTCAATAACGTGGACCAGGCCATAAGGAAAAGATCACTTTTTCCTTATGTCGTTATTTTCGGGCTGTTATGTTGCTATTATGTCTGGATGTTCACACTGCAAACATAACGACATAACGTCCTGCTTATGTCCTTATCTCGTTATGATGTCGTTTTGTCGCAAGTGTGAACCTGGCCTCTCCATCTATTATCCATAATCGCCGGAACCGCAACATTTTGGCGGGTCAAACTTTTTATTATGATTAACAGAGAAGTGACGTCATGGACTACACCATATCAATTCAAACTTCTGCCCAGGAGGGAACAGTAACAAAGTTGCTATTAGCGAATAAAGGACCTACTAGCTTCAATGCAAGTAAGGAAACAAGATTCCTCACCTTTCCAGAGTGTCCTTTTCTTTGTTTTCATCCTGCAATGGAAAAAAGGAATTGTAAAGAAATGAGGAAGACCGTGTGGCAAAACGGTGCATGACTGACGATTTTATGGACAGTTGTCGGGCGCTTTCCATTTGTATAGGAAGACCGTTTTTTTCCTCTGGTGGCAAACCAAATAGACCGGGTCTTTCCAACGGGAATTTGTCAGAAAATCTGGAATACCTTAAGAAGTATTCCTATTATTATTATTATTGTTATTATTATTATTATTATTATTATTATTAGTTATTATTATTTAGAGGTATTAGAGGTTTTAGAGGTATTCCTCTTTGCTCCTTTTTACCGGAATGATCGCAAAATCACTGTACCATTTACTTTTTCACTCTCTTCCCATGCTCCTTGATGAAGAACTCAGTCGGTTCGGTGGGAAATAAAATGGAAAAGTTTCTTCCACTGGAAGGTTTAAAATGCTGTCAAATGGTACACACATCTCGTCTCATTTTGTTTGCTGAAAATGTGCACTGTTTCAGTAGGCGGACCGGATTCTTGTTTCACCCCACTCTCGTTTACCCGTACCTCTAAGCCGGTGGGGCCTGGACACGAGTATCCTTGGACCCAGGGACTGCTATAGTTGGGACGATACAATATTTTCGGGCGAGCGATATTTTTGGGCGAAAGTTTACTTCAAGAGTAGACAAACCCCTGGGCACTTATCCTTACTGAACCAGTTCCGGAGGTGTTCGAATTCCGTCCCGCTGATTGGCCAGAAAAGTTTGAGACACGAGCAAAAGATAGTAACCTTTTCCTTGTGCCAGGACCCCGCCGGCTAAGAGGGACAGGCGGATCTGGGAACGAGAATGGTCTCACCTCGGGTTCCGAGTCTTTGAGGGCCTCTACTTTCTCCAGAATAGAATCATCACAGTCTGCAAGTGATGGAGTGTGACGAAAGATTAGGGTGATGTCACCACAGCACAGCCTCTCTTTCAGACCGGGATGGTTGCGAAGATATGGCTGACTAAAGAGAAACAACAACCACACAAGTTTACTTCCAACACATCTGCCGTAAACTACAGGACTAAAGAACAAGCTGAATTTTGAGGAAAAAAGGGCGTTCCGAAAGTATATTGTTTCTTAACAGTGGTTTATAGAAGAAAGAAGAATAACTGACAAGCGGCTGGAATTCATATCTGTGTTTTGAACTTCGCGAAAACGCGAAACCAAATGTGGCTGCGTGGGCGAAGCACTTGCGAGAGGAACACGCGAGTGCCGCTAGATAAACATTCTTAGCAGATAGGTATTTTCAGTCGAAATTTTTTTTGTAACATGTAACATGCAATAAGGAACTTATAGAGTGAAAAAATAAGTAGTTTCAAGATTACTTTGATATGATCCTGTCAGAATGCGGGGAAACCAAGACAAAACACTCTTCATGCGTCTTTGACGATAATAGCAAACATCGCAGTGCAATGTCCATTAAAGGAATTGTAACCTGCAATATAATGAAACACACTTCAGTAAACCTCTGCTGAAAGTTTACAGATCTCTATCTTCGAATCCTAACAATCGAAAGTACGATACCCCATCAACAGACAATGACATCCCACGTTTAAAAAATCAGGCAGATTAAGAGCCGAAAGCCTGAAATTTGCTATGTAGACACCTAGTTTTAGAAGAACCAATTCGGTCAGAAATTTTGAAAAAGGTTCTTATATGGGAGGCAAGTAAGAATTACTACATGGTGTTAGAACAGTCTTTGCTGTTTCCACTGTAATCATCAAGCTCATATTTTTGAGGACATTCATACTCATACATCTGAAGTTGTACTTGTTATAAAGTGTAGATATGAATACAACATAATATTTCTAAAAAAGGGATATTTACTGCTGTTCTTATTGTTTTTTCTGCTAAGAAGTAGTATTTCCTGAATCTAACGTCTGAAATATTGTAACTTTTACACCACACCTATGATATACTTGTGTATTTAAAACAGGACCTGCACAACTCAAATAAAGAAGAACTTATTTCAGAATCTAAACCAGCTCATTTTGTCTCATGCATCATCTTGGGATTTGCCAAGATAACCGACGAAATACGCCTTCAGCAGGATGTAATATACCAAACACGAAAGACCATGTTTGACCACATTTCCAAACAACGAGGAAAGAGTTTAAAATACGACGCGTAGCGGAGTATTTTTGATGAACTTCGAGGTGTTTGGAAGTGTGGTCAAACAATTCCTTGAGTGTTGATATAACTTCTCAATCGAAATTAAAACTAAAGAGAAAACGGAGAAATAAAATCGTAAAATCTATGTTAATTAAGATCAGATATCTAAACACCGACTGGTCAAGATTTACCTTGTTTAAACTTGATGAATTATTAATGGCTCTGAGAAAGATAGTATTAATAATTTACTCACATAGCCCAATAGAATGTCCTTCTCATTCTTCTCTTGTGATCTGCTCCAGATGCAGACATTAAGGTACTGATCTTTCTTGATGATATCAAACTTCATGGTCTCATTCCAGGTTGGATCCTGATACAAACAGGAAAAAAGGTCACTGGCTCGCCTGAATCTTACTCGTATGACAAAATTGGGTTTAGCGTCATTGCCATCGTCATTGTCATTGCTGCCGCGGGAATAAACGCGCTACTTTGTTAAGGATGTTGTGCTCCATAAACTACACACCGCGAATTTTGGGTTGTCACGCAGTGTCTGTCAGAGGAGCTTGCGTGACAACCTGCAAAAGAGAGCTTAGCGTACCGTTGTTGCCGGCACCAGACTGGTTTTCGTGGTGTCTAGTCCATCTACAGCTGTGATGGAAGACACTGACACGCTCCTCTGCTTGTTTCCTGGTGGGACGGTACTGCTGCCAGCAGCCTTCTTGTCGGTTCCCTGAGCTGAGTGATCTGTGTCAGTCCCATGTGTAGCTGATGACGAATCCAGTCTTGTGTCTTTCGTTTGTGAGCCTGTTAACTTCTGATCTCTGCGGAAAACGAAGTGGGAATGAGGATGCCATTATTAATTAAAGCCATAACTCAAGGTACATGCAAGCCTTTGAAGTCCTACGCTAACGCCGGGCATACCAAACTAAACAGTCCACAGGTACACTTAGGACTCAATGCACTTGACTCAAAGCTAATTTACAAGCTCAATTTGTACTTTTTGGATTTACACTGAAACAGACGAAACACATCCATGCAAATTTAAGTGAAATAAATAATTAAAGAAATAATGTGAAATTTCCGTTTCACTGTACTCCAACTTCCGGTAAGCGACCACTTTACAAGATGGACGCCAACTGGCTAACAAGATGCCTCACAACCCCTGTATGGCGATAAAATTTGTTTTCACAAAAGATTGTTTTTTAGGTGTAAATACCACGTAAATTGAAACCCTTGAGCTCCGCGATGCTGCACCAAGTGAGCCACGAAGCCTTGTTACGTTAGGAACAGGTGGATTACACGGCACTGTATCATGCACAAGGTATTGCCAATATCACGGAGGTTACAGGTCCGAATCCCGTGTTAGCCTCGAATGTTTTTTAGGACTAATTAAGCAATGCTTTCAAAGTACTAACGTACAGCAAGGATCATCTTATTTATGTCTATTTCAAACGCAATTCACGAGTATGTCTTTCCTTTTATGCATTGAACAAATACATTACTACGCAAATTGTCGCGATGTGCCTTGTCACCTCCAGCCCTCAGGCCAATCCCAGACGTGAGATGATTGACATTTCAGGCTACATTGTCCAAATCAACCTGTATGTATAAAAACCGAAATAACCTGATCACCTACCGTTCAGTTAAAGACTTTGCTGAAGTGTTATTCTCTGTGGTCGAGCTGTTAGAGCCCGTCTTCTTGCCTGCCAACAAAAGGCAAAATTTACGAGCATAATAAACATACAGAACGAAAAATCTAGTAGACAGATGAAAATGGCTTAGTTTGTTAAAACATTCCAAGCAAGACTCAGGAGGAATACTTAAATTGAAAGGTGAAAATGCAACCCCAATAACCATATGATAACTACACTATACATGTGTACGAAATATTCGCAATTTTTCAAAAACCTCCCAAATAATTCATTCAAAATATTCTATCAGATGCTAAATAACTATCAGATGACAGTGAAGGGATAGTTTCCCGGTGTGGCACATGTGTAAGCTATAGTGTGAGGACAAAGTACCGCTTTTGCTCTGTCACTGCACCACAAGTGGTTCAGCAATCGCAGAATGACTAATGGTCAAAATTCACCAGGCATTTCAACGGATTTACACAAAATTTCGAATTTATTACTTGGACTGAAGGATTTATTTAGGGTATGAGCTTGAGTTATATACTCGCATCCTGATTGGAAATTCTAATTAGAGAGATCACTTCTACTGTCGCATTTTCGAGGCTTAACGCAAATATTTCAGAGGAAACTATCACAAAAGAGTCATGAGCTCCCTTCCAATTGTTGTTTTATAAACAATGGGACTGAATGACCTTATATTATAATTTACACATGCACCAAGCTATGAAAACATCTGTTTAACCCCCAAGACATCTCCTCGAACACATCCCACCCCCAAAATGCCATTACACTTCATAGGTAATGATAAAAAAACAATATATAAAAAAAATAAAATTAATTCTCTGCTGATGCAAATTGGACCTTGCATGGGCAGATTTAGGAAGGGGGCAATTGGGTGGCTAGTCAATCAGGGTAAACACTGTAGACACCCAGGTAATTTTTTCCAAGCTAAAATAGTTGTGGCATTGCTACTATTTCTGGTACTACAGTTTTCAATTAGGTTCCAATTCTCATTTTGTGACATTTTGGGGGCATGCCTATTAATTCTGCAACCCCAAGGCACCAGCCATCCCCCCTGAAAAATTCTCGATCCACCTGTCTTGATGCTATATTTGAGGTGAGGTGCCTCCACAGACTTGTCTCTGAGATCTCTTAGATCAGAAAAAACAAGAGTCTTAAAAATGAGTATAAAACACTAACCATACCTCGTTTCCCTTTCATTTTCTTTTCTGCTTTCTGTCTCAGCTCAGTGCTTCTGGAGAGCATTTCCTTCACAGCAGACTTTGTGATTTCGCTGTCAGCTTGTTCAAACAGTGGCACAACAATATTCACGAATTCATCTTCAGAATCGCTGTCATTGTTCAGTGCTACATTCTTAAAGTCCACCACAGTTTTGCCATCTGTCTCTGTGGTTTCTTGATCACTTACTGTTGGCTGGGTGATTCTAGTTGGTGGTCTTTGAACAGTGGCAATGAACCTATGAGGAGATTAACAGTCATTAAAATAAAACATAGATTGTAGATGCCTTCCAAAAGCAAACAGCTAGCCATTATCCCTACCACAAACAAACACTTCGTAACATTTTTAAAACTTTCACGAGTGAACATCTCTTTTACGAGAACAATTTTTTTGAGATCCCAAAATGCCTGTTTCAGCATATTTGAGAATAAACATATCAAATCATAAAATAAATAATATCTTACAATTATAGTTTTCAAGTTTAGTAGTATCTAAAACAAAATTCTCAATAAATGTTGTGATTGGTTCTATCACGCCTTTTTGCCATGTCATTACATGGTTGTCCAATTACAGGCATCCAATGACAATGTTTTGTCACTGGATATCTGTAACTGTACATCTTGGCCATTTGCACATCAATTACATCCACTAATTAATGGTTTCTGAAAATACTACTGACTTTTTCATTCCAAAGTTGTTCTGAAATTCTTAACTTCGAAATTTGCAATTGATACATTAAATTGGTAACTGAAAATTGTGGTACAATTCAGGGAGTAAAGTAATTGTGCTTGTAATTTCAAATTGGCCTTGCACTTTGCTCATCCGATTTTGGAATTACAATGACTGATTACATCCTGAATTGGATCATGCACCTCAAGAAATTCACCTTGTTACCTGGTTTTGTTCTTAATCATCTTGGCAGCTTGTTTGAGAGATTCTATCTTGTGCCCATCAATTGCTACAAGAACATCTTTAGCCATAACCCCAACAGAATGTGCTGGAGAATCCGTGACTATGGTCTCTATCACAATGATTTTTCCCAGTTCATCCTCACTGATCTCTTTACTCAAGGTCAGACCAAATGAGATTTCATTACTCTCACGACTGATCTCAATCTGTAAAGTACCGGTACATGCAAATAAAAGTTTACATGTCATTAACATTTTCAATCGTGGCTTCAAGTGTTTTGACCATGTTCTGTGTTGTTGTTCAGAGATGTGGCACCTATTTGAAAGTGCCCTTATTTTCAGTAAATACAGTGTATGGCAGTGTTTTTCACCTCATTACCCATGATTACTTCGTCATCCTGACTAAGGGATGTACTGCTTCCCATCCAAAACACAAGGAGAACTAGCTAGGGATCCTTAAAACACAGATAGTGAAAAAGAAATGATGGAGGATGAATTCACCTCAAATGTTGGCCACATTGCTCTTTTATTCTCAGCAAGCCGACTCCATGGAAGCGGGTCCACAGACAAGCTGCAATACTGCCACACCCTGTTCTCCAATTCAGGTAGACGGGTACATCCCATCACTGTGACTTCAAGACTACCAACAGTAGCCAGACTGTTGTGAACGTAGACCTCCTGGGTCTCGTCTTGAGGGGAGAGCTCTAAGAAGAATGGGCTATACCTGATCTTGTAGCTGGGAAGGGTGTGTTTCTTTTGAATTGACTTGCGCAGATGACTTATTATCAGAGAGGACAACTGAGGCAGGTTTTTACCCTCAAACTGAGATTCAGCTTCAAATTCAACTTCTGGTTCCTGGATTAAGGGAAATAATTCAATACAAATAAATTAGTATTTCAAACACCACAGTGTAATGCTCTGTGACCAATGTTTGAAATACTAATTGACTGTTATGCTTATCTAGATAGTGTGTTCTGAGTGGGACAGTATAATGCAGCTACACTGAAGCAATTTAAAATCAGAGTAATGATGTGCATAAAGTTTAATTGTGCATCACGTATTTAATTGTACATGACCAGTTTTCTTGCCAATTTCATGTTGATACATTTTTGCAAGTAGTCAAGTTTTACAGTATTTGTTAATCGGTCATCAAAATATGAAATGCAGTCAGTGTCAAACCAGTAGCATACATGTCATACCCTGCCTACATGTACAAAAGTTACACAATACTGTATTTCAAATGAATCTTTCTCAGTTATAAAAACTATTTTTGTTAATTGTTTATTGCCAATAACCTACAGTGTAATATATTTGGATTTATATGTACTGGTCCCAGCCAGTTTGACACTGTCTTGCAACTGCTAAACATACCAGGAACAATAAGAAGTTGCTATATTTGCAAGTTATTCAGACATTGAATTGACTGTGGTTGTTTACCACTTTCAAAAATTTCAGGAAATTTGGGTTGGGATGTAAATGGCCATGAATTTTAATCATTTGGTCCAGGTATAAATTTTTTGAAGAAACAGAACTTCTGCAAAGGAAGGCTGTTTTCCCGCTGGGCCAATCTGCATGGAAATCTGTATCTGCAATTCCATTTACTATAATATGGTGTTGTCTGCACCAGTTTCAAATCTTTCAGCTTTCATGACCTCCATGCCTTGAACAATATTATAGTAGTTGCAATGGGCATTAATGACCTGTATTCCTAATCACATACCTCATAGAATGCAAAGGACCAGTGCGTAAGTGGATGCCTACTAAGTTGCACTCTTGCCCGGCCTCGCAGAGAAACCATCTTAATAGACAAGTACACAGACTTGTTAAATACAAGATCCACCTGTATGGCCATATGGCACCCCCCTGAGTACTCAAGGTCAAGGGCAATATCCAACTCTTGGGGGACCTCCAGGGGTTCTTTTGTTCCTATCTTCATCACAGTGGCACCTATAAGAGACAAAAAATGTCACACTACACATCCAGATACAAGCCTGAAATCATGAGGCAAGTGCTATTCATCGAAATTTTCGGAAACAACAATGGACATCTGCTTCATCTAGATGTTGGGCTACAAGCCAAGTCGTCTGCCGTTATTGGCTTATAATGCAAAAGCAATACTAGGTTTTTGTATCACAAAGGAAATAATATAACAGTGCATCACTGTGGTGGTATTTCTATTCCAGTCAAAAGCAGTTATATGAATCTACATATTCAAAAAAGAAAAAATTCATTCTCCTCCCATTAAACGTTTTTTGGGTTCTTCTCCCACCCATCCCTCACCCTTCCCCCACCCATTCCATACCCTTCCCATACCCTTCCCATACCCTTCCCCTACCTTTGGAAAAGTACAGCATCATTACTTTCCTCTGAAAACTATACCCCTTGACACTGTAATTTACAAAGACTTTCCTTAGAGCTGGTATGAATATTTCCTGTGAGGCCACATTAATATAATGCATGCACACCTGTAATTACAGGTAGAGACGTCCCCAGTGAGAGTTCTTCAATAGTTATCTGTTCTATCAATTTCCTGGCTGCTTTGCCTTGCATCAGTTCTGAGAATTCGGAATTCATCTTGTTTAGAAAGTATGATTTCATCTGCTGAGAATCTCTCCATTCTCTCCACAAAAAGGCAAGTAGAAGATTCAGGCTCATGCATGATTCTTTTTCAGTGGCGCTATCTTTCTTGAAGTATTCTGCAATAAACTGCAAACAGAAATATAAACTTCATAACTTTTTAGTTTATAATTTGTTGTGCTTCTACCGTGATCAGTGCGATTGGAAGATCATACTTGAATATGATTTGTGAGTGTTCTTTCTAAATGATATCTAAAGAGTGTAAGCTGCAACCTTGGAAATATATCAGTCATCTGGCGATCAGTGATCAAAGCAAAAGTTTTGAAAACTAAAATCAAGGCGTTTACAGTTTAGATTCAGATCAGTTTCTCCAAATTTTAATTTAAGCTTATAGCCTAAATAATACTGTTGACATTTCGCAGTTTGGAAAATAACTTATGCGATCTACGCTTCCTTTTTTGTCATTAAAGATCACCGGATTAAGTGCACGGCATGTAAATAAAATGAAAGCGCTGGTGTTTTGACGAAATCGAAGACTTCCTACCTCGGGGTTCGTGACTCTTGTGCGCTGTGGGTAAAGTTTCCGAGCATCCTTTCCTGTCAAAGTCCACCATTTGTACAGTAAAAAAGCTTCTAAAAGTAAAACAGAAAAGACTCCGATACAGAAGGCGAGAATCAAAGCTATAAACATGAGAAGGAGTAACAGCAAACCGAGGAAAAAGTCATGTTTTCAGTTCTTCCTGAAAGAGCAGGTGGGAGACTGGAGACGAAC